GTATATCCTTGGGTTAGCGTCTTTCCCACTTATCTTAGCAGATCTCATGAAAAAAACTTAATCTGTTTTATCTCTCTCACTGCCTGTAATAGATATAAATAACAATTGGGAGAAATTTACAGTACCACAGTGGCATCACTGGGGAAGGACAGCAGTGAAAGCAAGGCTTAGAACTTTGATTTGTGCCTTTGAAACCCCCATTATTTTTGGTCATAGTGGGAGCATGAAGAGACTGCTAGACATCACAAGAGCATGATAGGTAGGGCACATTATTGACTGCTTGGATAGATGTTACAGTGATGAAAAGTTTTTAGGCCAAAGTGGTTTTGTGGATGTTTGTGGGACATTTTAGGAGAATATCCAAAGCCATTTGTTGGAAAATATAATTACCAAATGATAGAAACTCCCATAACTGATGTCTGGGTTGAACTGGACAATCAGCCCCTTGTCAATCACAGCTCACAATCTTCCCCTCTTACAGAAAGCTCATGAATTCCTGGCATTCCTCCAGAGTTTCTGTAGTTTCTGACCTGACAGCTCTGAGCACCATTGCACCTTCCCAACCACAGTCCTAGGAGCTTTCCCCATCCCATGAGACAACACGAGCCACCCTTCCGTCTCATGAAGCAACACAGGAGGAGGAACAAGGACAGTCAGCGGTTCCCGCACCAGCTCCCAGGACCATGTCCACCTCTGATTGTCAGAGTTGGAATAAATCAGCTTTTCTATAGGCACTTGGGGCTAAGCACAAACGCACAGGCGTTCATTCAGTATTTCATAGGAGCCAACATCCTGTCATCTATCTGTACAGATGTATGAAGTACAAATGATACTAAGTACTTTTAATAATACTTAAATTGTTATTATAATTAATAATTAAGTATTAAGCCCCCAAGTTTTAAAAAGCTAATACAAAAATTCAAGAAGAAATTGGTATTTGCCTCTTTTTAGAATAAAATCCAAAGGCATATGATTAATATAAACCTATCCTAAATACTTTTTAGTGACCAGAATGACAGGCATCACACGTGTTTTGCTGTGTATTTCCCTGCTGCTTCTTACTTGATTTTTTTTAATAGTGCAGCAGGTATCTTTCAAATTATTATAGAGCATTATTAACATTAATCCTAGAACAGAGCCCAGCTGTAATGTTCAAGTCCTTTTGTTCTGTTAATGAAGGCAGACCTTAAAGATGACACAAGCAGTTCCAAATGGATTTGATAAAACATCCATAACCAGAGATTCACTTTTGTATAAAAGGCCTTCATGCTTTGCTCACCAAAAAGCAAAGAAGCCATATCTAAGGGATCAGTAACCATGCTATTTCAATCTATGGCTAGTTTCTTTGTAGTCCTTGCCCTTCTGCAAGTTGAGAAGAACTGTCTCCATGCAGAACAGCACTTCTGACACAAACTGCTTTTGAATCAAAAAGGATGCAGAAAGATGTGAGACATCTACCTTCTCATGCTGCCAAGAAATGCAAATGCAAAATGCTAAATAGCCCGTATTTTCAGTGCTTGAACCACTGTCCCTGCTCGGTGGTGGAACATCTAAGTACATACAAGCCTCTCTTTCTGGRTGACAAGTTTAGAAAGGTTTTTAAGATAAACCAAACCAAATGCAGTGAAATAAGCTTACGAAACAGGTCAGCCAAAAATGTCTGTGAAATGAGGAACAGTGTTGTCTCTCTGGTGTTGTAACACACCAGAACAATCTCAGGACCAGTCTAATTCATATGTATAAAATCCCTGCAGTGTGCATCTTCACTGGAGTGAAGCACCTTCACTGCCATCTCACCGCACCTTGCCTGGGTATAGCCTGTGGTGCAGCATTCTCAGGAGGACACGTGAGGAAAGGATGCCTCCTAAGATGGGTTTTTGCTACTACTGAGTCTCTTCTGTGGGGAATGTCCTACTTGGTCTTTCAGCGCTGGCCTCCATTGGGGCCCCTTTCGCCTCATCTCCATTACAAAGTCAGGAACTGCTGAAAAGCTGGGGCTTTGCAACAGATACAGCACCTCACTTCCAATACTGAGTCACTACTCAAACAAAAGCAACAAGCAAATTTCATGACATTTAGCGAGCAAACAAACTCTACAATACTGTAGTTTTATTCTCAGCTTAAATGGCAGCAAAACTCTGCCTTTACAGTTTTCTGGCATTTCTACCTGCTTGTGCTGCGTGAAACTGGGGCAGTCACCTTGAATTCTGGATTTAGTTCCAGACCTTATGGAAACACAAAGAGGAAGAGAAAGAACAGCAGAAATGTATCTGAGAAGTAGATGTGCAATAAGATGATGAAAAGGGATTTGTTTCCTTGTGGCTCTTTCCCAGGCTTGGCAGTAGCTTAACTGGGGCGTTGTGAGTCCCTGCYGATAGCAAGAAAAATGACTGTAGATGAAGCCATTTGCTGGGTAATGAGGACTGACCAAAACGCTCGAGTGCTCTGGTTCAGAGCAGACTCCCCAAGCCTGTATTGTAAAGATTACCAAGGAAGGCTGTACCCACTTTGTTATTACAGTCTGGCCATTTACAAACCCAAACTGCTTTCTACATGCATGRACTAGAAATGCATGAGCTGTTCTGCACATGGTAAGCAGTCATTTCTATAATGTTCTCTACTCCTTGCAAATTCTCTCCCGTACATGAAGAAAAAGGCTGTTAAAGGGACATCTTAAAACAATTGCTTCATATTTTGCACATGAACCCATGGGAGATCATTGCACTCTCATGTTGTAAGGTATCAGATCATCAGTTAATATAAGCCAACATAACTTTATAAATGATCCAGCTGAAAGAACCCATCATACTGTTTAAATTTCCATAATATACTTCATAGCCATGAAGTAACTTATCTTTGTTTTGATCAATAATCAGCAAGTTTTTTATACTACAGTTGATGGAACAGAGTTCCCTTTCCATTTAACAAATTAAATAGACTCTCTGTAACTTTTAGGACATTATTTCTGCAATGGACCTAATCAGGATGCACATTCCCTTGTGATGTGATTGGTTACACCCCTGTGCCAAGGACTGGGACTGGCCAGGGAGCGGCACTATGTGCCCAGTGCTGTGCAAATACATAACAAGTTCCACCAGCAAAGAGATCCTGACTTAAGCTATGGTAAGACAAATTTAGCAAGGAAAACACAGTTAAAGAAAAAAAAAAAAAAAAAAAAAAAAAAGGGCAAACACATATGCAATACACACCTACTTTTGCTAATACTGATACTTAGCATTTCATATTTAAAGTAGTGACTAAATGATGATGTTAGTTTAAAAAAAAAAAAAAGAGAGAGAGAAAATTCTGCTTTCAGCTTCTTCCCAGAGTTTCCAGAGATTGTAGTCATTGTGTAGTTTCAGATCTATGTTGCATGGGAGCATTTAAAGAAAATAGTATATAGTATCAATGCAAAAACCCAATTAAAAGTCAATGTTAGTATTAAAATAGGAAAGAAACAGAAGGATTATCTAAAACAAAGGGTAAATAGCATTTCTATGGTATTTAAGGAAAGTTGAAGCCTATGAGCAAACAGATCAGTTACTGAAGTAGCAAAGCCTTATTATAGTTGTTTTTCAAGGTGACCAAAGCCTAGGCTGTTGTCTCAAGATTTCTTCCTATTCTACTGTTAAACTSTTAAACACACACAAATTTCTCACTAAATTAAATCTAGTGCACCAAAGGGCAACTCAGCGGCAGAGCCCAGATGCAGAAGCCGGGGCACCTTGGCTCCAGCCCTGCCAAGAGCCCCTCCTTCTAACCTGGTCAGGTTGCAGTCTGGAGGGAGATGTGCTCAGTGCAGAGCACACATTTCTGGGCTGATCAATTGTCCCTCTGTCTCACTGTTCCCTTCTGCCGAGCAAATGATCTTTCATTCAACCTTGCAAGACTCATAACCCTTCCGTCACCTCCAGGTACCAGTTATTATTACAAGTGCAGCACTGCACTCAGCTTGGGAGCTGACTCTGCAACAAAACCAGACTTATTTATGAGAGGGAGAAGAGCAAAAGGCTGCCAGGGAGCCTGCAGAACTGTTGCATGTGGCCAAGCCAACCAAGACCGTCAACAGCGACTTCAGTCTTCTATTCCTTGTTAGAAAGCAAGTAGTTATTTGGTCCTGAACCCATGCCAGGCACTGCAAMAGAACCAGCACTGCAGCTGAAGCATCAGAGTGGGAGACTTACACCTCTCTGTCACCAGCATATGCTATATGATAGCATTGGCATGCAAGACTGAAGCCAGAGGTAAAGCACGRCTCCAGAACACAGCTGAGGAACACAGCAGTTTTGGAAAAGTCTGAATGCACCAGGAGCGCTGGCCAAAATCTGCTAGCAGGATGCAGTGAAGCCTCAGGTGATTGCCCGCCATAAGGATGTCGTTACACCCAACGCTTTTCGTCCTGTGGTCAATCCATCTTACATGGAAACTCAGAACATGCTTATCTTTGTATCGATGCAGAGCTTTTCATGAGCATCTTTTCAAGATTTCTTGAAAAGTCTTGGGGGAAATTTTTAAAAAAGCCTTTCTGGTTACCCTAAAAATGGGAAATGGCTTGTAGGCTTATCAGATTGTAGGGAAGATACTACTGCCAATAGAAGAAAAACTGATACATTGGAGGGGGACAAGTCCCGTAGATAACTTGGACAGTCAACTAACCGATCTTTACAACCACTCTTTGCATCAGCACTTCGCAAAGGACGTGTCCACTGTTGCTCGATGGCAATTGAGGGTCTCAAGCGGACGAGCTCTGACACCTGAAGYGCCAACGAGCACAGGGAGCGAGGGGAGAGCGGCCGCCCGCAGCGGCCGCCGGTCAACGCGGCCCTGCCTTAACCCCCCGCACAGGGCAGCGCTCCCCTTCCCCAGCACGGCAACGCGCCCGGCCGCGCCCGCGGAGCGGGGCCGGCTGCCCCGCGCGCCGCGGAGGGCGAAGCGCTCGCGGACAGCGCGGCGCATCCCGCCTCGAGGCCCGCCCGCTGCCCCCGGCCCCGCGTACTCACTCCTGCCCAGCCGCTCGGCCGGCCACGCCGTCTCCTCCACCGCCCCGTAGCGCCTCATGGGCTTCTCCGCCTCGGCGCTGGCGGACAGCGAGCGCCGCAGCTCCATGGCCGCGCCGGAGCCCGCAGCGCGCTCACTCCATGCGCCCCGCGCAGCAGCAGCAGCAGCACCTGCCGAGCTGCCGCCCTTGCGCGGAGCCCGAGCCGCCGCCGCCGGAGCCGGAGCCCGCGCAGGGGCGGCGCGGGGCGGAGCGGCGCGGCGCGGAGGGGCCGGCGCGCACATGCTCAGTGCGCGGGACCGTGGGCGCACGGGCAGCCCGCGGGGTCGCGGCAGCCCCGCGGCTCCCCATCTTTGCAGCCGTGAGCGGCCCTCGTGGCCTCCTCTGCCCYGGTGGGCAGAGCAGGTAAAGAGGCCTTCACGGGGTCCGAGATGCTGGCGCTTTTCCTCCTCACCCTTCGCCCTCCCGGGGATATTTACCCCCATTGAATAGGGCCTGAGCAGCGCTGGGGTCCCCATGGGCTCCGAGGGMACCCTTGGCACCTGCAGTGAAACATCTCTGGGTGCAGCTCATTAGCCAGTGTCAAATCCTGTGCAGATTGGCACAACACCCATCCTGACTTCATGTTGAGGACAGCACCCAAACAAATGATGTGATTTTCCACCTCTTGTAACTGTATGTATTTTTCATAAACATGCAGCTTCAGTGTTTACGCAGCCTCCTGGGATTAGAAGAGAAGGAAGTGACTATGCAGGAAGCATAAGAGCGTTGCTAATGATCATTGTTATTATTAATCTTTTAATTTGTGGTAGAGGAGATTTTATTTGTATAAAATCCCTGCACGGAGCTTTGCAGTTGCAGAGTATTTTTCCTTACGAAATCTCCTTGCATGTTCTTGTGAATCTTACCCTTACTTCTGGTGTAGAGAAGATGAAGAGGGACTTGAGCATCTTGCCCAGTGCCCCACATAAAGTCAGTGCTGCACTGACAGGGAGGCGCTGAACTCCCTGTCTGGTTCGTGAAGAGTGATGGGTGCTGGTGATGCTGAGTATGGATTGCATGCCCCAAAGCTTCTCCTATACCTTTGCCTATAAACCTTATCCTGCTCTTCAGCCATCAGTGCTMCAAAAGCACTACCACTATTTTCAGTGTGACACTTACTGAAAGAAGGGCTGACACAAATTGCCACTATGTTCCTGACCAGTTTTGTTTTGCTTTCACGGAGCCTGCTTTCATCTTGAAGGAGAGACAACCTCCATATCCATTACAAAACCGTAACTCTAAAAATGTTCCTCCATTTTTTTAATTTTTATATGAGAGATTTAGAATTAACTACCAAATCAAAATGACTTGGACATTATTTTGGAAGGTCTTCAGGGCATTGTTACTTTTCCCTGTCAGCTGTGCTCCCCAGAGGTTTGCTGTGATTGGAGTACCAGGCATCCTGGAGGAGCTCTTGCTGACCGGTGTTTGCTGCTTTTGACCTTTAGAGATGGAGCCCAAACAGATCTGTGAGTCTAGTAGAAGGGCTGCTGGCAGTCCTGCACACAGCTGATTTTGGGTGACAGTGCAGCTGCCTGCTGGGGTGGGCTGGACTGACTCACCGTAGAAGTGAGGCACGCAAGCGTGGGAGGGAGACAAGGGCCCATCTGGGATCTGGATGAGAGCTGGACTAAGGGAAACAGGCTGATCAGGGAGAAGGGCCAATTCCTAGTGGATCTGGGGACTATTTACCTTCCAGTTCTTTGGATAATTGTAGCTGAAGTGCTTTGTTTAGGAGATGGTGGAAGAGCCTAGAAATCATTGCATATTTTAAGCTATATATTGGTTAGTATGGACAAAAGAAAAAATCATTAATTAAAAACTCTGATACATAGAATTTATTTATGTAAAGTGAAGAATGTATAAGATTTACTGTAGCTAGAAAGTTTTCACCTGCCCTTTTTGAACAAGTCTTAAATCCTACAGACAGTTGAACACACGAGTAGGTATGTGGGAGCAGTGCCACTGGGTTCGTTCGCACAGAAGTTTTAGCAAGATTGGGCATCCTATATACTAATTATATTGCTAATGTGCTAAGAATAACACTTCAGCTTTGTGATGTGAGAGCGTTTTCACAGCAGCATTTGCAAGCAGAATTAAATTTCTCCCCTACTGACTATGCCCTTCAGTGCATCTCAGCAATACAAATGCATTCTTCTACTTGGAAAGGTTGCTTTTCTTCTACTGAAAGTACTGTGATGGAAAAAAAAAAAATAAAAACAAGTCCCTTCACTCAGAAGATACTTAGAAACTCAGAGCCCTGTTTCTGCACTTGGCTTTTGCCATCAGCTCTCCTGACTGCTTTAGTTCCCTTAGTTCCTTGCACATTTCACAGTTAAGTCCTGTCCACAGGAGTTATAGCTGCTCCAATGCAGCTGGCGCATCTTCTTTCCTGCCTATTGCTCTTTTAGCCTCTGTTACACACCAGTGATCATCCATGACAGACATGGCACTATATATATATATCGGGCATGTCTTGCAGGGGCAAAATTTGTAGAGGCAGCATGGCTTGTAAATCAGCTGAGAGGAAATAGTCTTGGCTTTCATGGAGCTTATCAAGAATTTAGGACTTCTAGCTTAAAGTTCAGGCAGCTATGCTGCCTTTGTGGCAAATCTGATCACCAAGAGGGTTCTTGGAGGTGGCTCTGCAGCTCTGGCATGGGCTACAGTGAAGGTGAGACTCAGGGCCACTGTTCTTTGACAGACAATACAGTTATTCTAACCTCAAAATAACAGAAAGTGTTAAAATTCTACCCAAATTTTTCATTAATTTATAGTAAAAACTCAATAATACGATTATAATAAATACTCAAGTAATCACAGTATAAAAATCGGGTTTCTTTCTATTTCTCACTCATTTGTATTGTCATTCTCCCTAAATGACAGCTGTTAAGCCAAAGCTAATCTTTTCAAACAGCCTTAATTAAATATAATCCTAATTAAAAGCAGAGGGGAAAGGGATAGCTAAAAATTACAGGAGGATTCTTGAACTAGAAGATACTCTTCTGCTGCATGTTTCCACCTTCAGRCCTGTGTGTTCTTGGAAGCCTTGGTCCTGCCAGCAGGCACTTGKGTGAGTATGTGTTGGCTGTGGGAAATGGCCTACATTTCCTTTTTTTTTTTTTTTTAATTTTCCCTTTTTTTCCCCCCATCTAAATCTTTCATGGCTTATGCTTTGAGACTGCTCCTTTTGTTTGTTTTCTTCCTTAATATTTATTTAGAAATACAGCTTTTCCTGACATCAGCCATTTCTTTAAAATATATTTTAGGCTAAAGTAACTTCATAAATAATTCACAGTGGCTGCAGCTAAATAACTAGGATGTTGGTCCAATTCCACTGCTGCCCTGTCAGGATAGCAAAGCACGTGTGTAGCTTAGGAGCTACAGGCAAGCAAGGCCTTCCAAAGAGCTTATGAAAAGGTGAATTTAATATTATTTTATGACTCTGAGGTAAGGTGGTGATACAACTATTTGAAGGTGCATAAAGATATACACCTAAATGTTTATTAGTGTTACCTTATTCTGATTTTTGAAAATTTTAAATTAACAGGTCTGTGTGGAATATTATATGAGTGGAGCAGTGGTTTTTATGTGCCATTAGCTGTTTCATCAAGCATGCACACAGAAGGGAAGTGTCAATGTATTTAAATTCCTCCTGTAGCTCCGTAGCTGAATATCGAGTGCTATGAAAGCAAAGGACAAGCATTTAATGGCAAATGTTAGTGAACCATGTGCCACTAATTACGTGCCAGATGCGACATGCTTCTCTGTGCCTTGGCCGAGCTACGGTAGAGTACTCTGTGTCCTTGAAGCTGTTTTTCTAGTGAAAATTACATTTTTTTTTAATCTGTGCATATTGCTGCTTATTGTTTGACTTCTGTATGTGATAAATGTTAACTGGCAGCACTGGAGCTACAGCATCTGACTGCCCAGCAATTTTTCTTATTCCATATTTAGAAATCTATCAAATTAAGTGGKCTCTGAGCTAGCAAATACTTAGATTTGAAGAAGAAGGAGTATTTAATTGCTTTTCCCTTCATATCAGAACAAGTACCTAAGGCCAGGGGCCAGGGTGCTGGGCCACACCTCGTATCATGACAGAACCTTGCAAGGTGCAGCTCCCAAAACACAGTCCAGGTTGAATGAAGCTTATTAAACATTTGGCTAGTCCAAGATACGTTTCAAGTGAAGCTGAACTGATAAATGAACAGTCAATGGCCCATGCTTGGGTATGCCAAGTTTTTAAGTGCTTGTGTGTGAAAATTAGATCTGTGCCTGTGCTGAACCTATTTGCACAAGTTCCTATATTAGTAATGGAGACTACTTAGGTTAGCCCAGCACCTTCCATTTACTCAGATTCATCTCATCAATTTTCTGGATAGACAGTCAGAAGATATAGCAGAAAAATTCAGGAAATGCARTAACAAAACCAACAGGGCACATGTGTCTGGTGGAGAGAACGGAATCATTTTCCACAGGGAATGTCTGTAGCTGTGACCATAATACAGATTCTAGAAAACTCTGTCTCAAAACTCTTCTATCCCATTTTATTTTTTTCTTAATGAACTTTCTACATTAACTGTTCTTTTAAGCTACGTATTTTACAGGAAAAAAAAMCAACACTGGTTCAGCACCTGTCAGATATGTTACTGATACGATGGGTAGGGAAGGTTTCCAAGGAACAGGCTTATGTTCTGCATTTGGAACCAGCCTCAGGGCTATGACTGGTCTGGCCGTTGTGTTGGTGAGTCACCATGGTGCCGGTGGCCTTGGTGTCAGTGCCGGGGGCCAGAGCCACACAGACCAGATGACTGAGTTGAGCAGATTGAGATGGTCAATGTGTCTGCACATAGGGGATTTGTAATACCCGGGACAATAGACGCTACTGACCTATGTAACAGCAGGAAGCAAAGCGCTCTGTAGGTAATTGCCATGTAAAAGCGGAGGTCATTAGTGCACACACATAATCATTTCTTACTGTATTATGACATTATGAACTAAGCATAGTATAGATTTCGCATAGAATAGAACCTTTCAATGTCACTGGCTTATTATGGCAGACCGGCTGCAGCTAAAAACCTTATTACTGTTTGGATGTAAAAGTATGCGATGCATTAAATGGAAGTAGCTGACGTGTCTTAATGGTGGTTTAACTCCAATGAGAGATACCTAACCTGCCTTTTGCAAACCCCTGTAAGGGCCATTTCTGCAGCCCTGCAGCTGAGGCTGGGAGATGGGTTAGCGGTGCAGTGGTAGCTGCGAACACCGCACGCAGGCAGGCGCAAATGGGAGATTTTGCAATGCCAGAGCAGAGCTGAAAAATAGATGGGGATGGGAGTGGAGAACTCCAAAGGCTTCCAGATTTTTTTCTAGAGGAGGGGTACAATGAGAGCGTGGCTGCTTTTCTGATAGATCACTTGAGAAGAAATGGAGGGTTTATTCTTACGTAGGCACACACTTGACACACCCCCTACTTACAGTATATTCTGACTCCAGAGAAGCATGTTGTCACTTATTTTATCCAGCCACCAAATTATATCCTATAAAAGGACACATAATTCAGAACAAAGCTGACACTTCCTTCACAGATAAAGGAGCTCGTGTGGTAGAGCACATCATGCACATGGTTTGTGAGTCCATATGACCCAGACACTGTATTTATTTATACAGCTGAGTGCTTATGCATCTTACATTGATTTTAACTGCATAAAGTACAGTAACTAAATTGGGAGCTGCATAACCCCACTCTTGCAATATCCTGGGGATTATTAGGATACATATTCATGCTCCCTCTTGGACTCTGATTCAATCAGTCTTGACTTCCAAAATGGAAAGGAGAGCAACTGCATCTAGGTTCTGTATTTAAGGTTTTCTCTTGGCAGGGGGGAGCCTGGGCATAGGTGTCCCAAGTTACATTCACTTATGAGGAGCATCAGCTGAATGTGAAGAGGCTCGGACTTGCTGTCCTTTTCCACGTGCTGTTCTGCAGCTCACTTCCTAACTGTGTTTCTTGGAACCCAGCATGTGCAAAGGCCAATCCTTGTGTTTCTGAACTTCTCCCATGCATCTGCCACTACAGCAGAGCTGTCCTCAATACTGTCTTTTCCAATCATGCTCCAGATCTCATTAGTCTTTCTTGGTGCTGGGAGTTCTCTGCATGAACAGTTGTAATTTTTACCAGTGTTGATGCATTTGACTGTTCAATTGTTTTTCTGTCTGGATATATGGTACAAGTCTTTGGGCAATGCCACTTTAAATTAATAAACTGAAAAAAAAAAAAAGAATGGAAGCTGTGTTTGCTAAGGCAAATGCTATTGAATAGTGTATGCGAAGATCAGACAGACAGGAAATCAGCGTTCTTTGTTCCCACCTAGAATGGACTGCAGTAACTTTGATCATTGCGGACAGGCAATTAAACGTGAATTCTCAGAGCAATTTTGAAATTAAGAGAGAACATATGGCCTTCAGCTACCTAAGCACAGGAATACCAAGCAGAAGTAGAAAGAAATATTATCTAGGTGAGTTGTGCGTRAAATTATCACTGGGAATAATCTTTACAGAGTTACTGTCTGCTTTCCAAAGTGGAGGTTGCACAGCAATAAAGGGTGCACAAAAGAGCTTAAATAATGATTTAGCATGGAACTAATAGAGCTAAACCTATTTATTTTATCCAAAGAATAAACAAAAATGTGAATGTTTACTAGTTACATGCATACAGAAAGGTCTTCCTACCACCTGTTTAGTTGGAAAAGGCATAACAATATCCCCATAGAATTAGGTTGAATAAGATTAGATAAAAGGCAATAGAAGATAATATTTTACAAAAAAAAAAACTTAAATAATTATACGTTCTTACATATGTGGCAGATTGCCCATTATATGCAGCCTTTGGATACCTTTCTGAAAGTTATCATGAGATTCAGACATTATTGTCCTCATTCAGTAAGTACTAGGCAACACTCATTGCCCTATATTATTCAAAGACTCACACTCGATGATCATTTTTGTCCCAATTGGCCACAAAGACTATGAAACAGAATTTTTCAACTTGAAATATTTCCATAAATCTTTTTCCTCAATCTAGATATGCAATAACATAGAGTAGGGAATGGAGCTGTTRTCTGTCTTCCAGTTGTGGAATACATTATTCACTTCGGCCTCAAAGCTACCAAGTAGTTTCCTTCCGAAGAATATCACWCTCCAGCTACAGTGCATGCATCCCTCAAATAAGGACTGCTAGCCTCTGTTCTCCTTAATATTTTACTGAGGCCTTTTACATATTTTTCCYTCCTGCATTTCCCAGTTTCTTCTGCGATTATATTATCTAAACTCACACTAATTCCAAAGTTTTACCAGTTTAAAAAGGGCAATTAAGTCCAGTGGCAGTGGCTTTAAAGATGGTAGTTCTTTTCTGAACTTGTTCATAAGTGGCAGATAACTTGATGTACATCATTAATCTGTAAATGTAGCAAGTAATCCCTTCTTTCCTTTCACTTTGCCCCTGGGCTACAGCTTATGCTGTGGGAGGTACCTTTTCTTGACCCACATCATATTGAGCTCTTTCCAAGTTCTTTGCTGTTTGTGGATCATGAGGATCCTACGGAATCTTCACAAGAAAATGCATTTGTTTACAACACACACAAACACAAGTTGGAGACGGAGCCAAAGAGCAACATTTAGGATTTATTAAATCTTTTCAAAAACACAGTCAAGTTTAACTTGATTGTTTTAGAGTATTCAAATATCTCTTGCACATTTACTTGTACTGGCACTAGCAGTAGAGGCAGCAGCACTAGCAAAAAGCATTGGCACTTAGAGCAGAGAATCATAAGGCAGAAGCTGCATAGATTTCAGATGCCATACCCATATTTTTATCCCTGTGCTATACAGGGAAGTTACCCATCAGATGTGATACCAAACTACAGTCAGACAGTTTTATCATCTCTGCAATATGAAACTGGTTATTTTATGCATTGCTACTGGTTGGTTGTTTCTGGTGTGAAAGAGATGGAGGCTTTCTGGTGAATTAGAAGTGTGTCCTTCAGATACCAGTAAGCACCAGGAGGTTCATTTACATTAAAGATTTGCAATAGAAAAATACATTTTAAAATTCCCATGTTATCACATTCACCTTCTAAATCTCCACAGCTCTCCTGAAAAAATATGAAGCTGCAGCTATACCTGATATGAATGTGTCTTCTCAATCCATTTGCTCTTACAGAGGTCCYGTGAAATGGAAATGTCACTTGAATTCATGCCCAGTAGCTATTGGCAGAGCATTCCCTCCTTCCTGAGCACCTACTTGATGTCTAATTCTATTCGTATCATTCTGGTTAGTGAAATCTGCGGTGTTCATCTGGCATTAAGATCACTGCAATTCTGTTACACTGACATAGAACACAATTTTCTATAGCTGTTTTTCAATAAAGAGGAAAATAAGAGAGAAACCTAAACAGACAAGTCTCACCTAGCTCATGTTTTCTGATGAACGTACTCAATTATTGATTATTAAACTCCAATTGTAGAAACAAGCACAAATCTATATGTATGTCAAAAATAGTCTTCTAAGCCAAAGAAGTGCCARGGAATAATAACGTCTCCAACAACTAAGGAATTAGGTCCTCTAACAGAATAAACCGAGAGAGCCAGGAAATCTTTAGAAGGTGCACAGCAATTTATGCACAGCAAGAATTTTCCAAACACAGCTTCACTGTTTTGTGTTAYGTAAGCCTGAAAATTTCACAAGAATTATCAACACTGGCAATTACAAAACAAACAAACAATATATATGTATGAAAAGGGACCTGGGTTACTTGGCTTTCAAATACTTAGCAACTACAGATGATAAAAATAGGGAAACCTGTCCCTGAAACCACAAACAAACAAGCATGAAGACAATACAGTATTTAGCTCATGTTCCCAAGCAGAGATAGCATCAGCAAAGCCTACAGCAACAAAACATGGCTTGTGTAAGCTTTTAAGCTTTTTAAAATAAAAAACAAATGTTCCATTTATAAATATTCCTGCTGAAGGAAAGCATCAGAATTCCACAGATCATGAGGACAGATTTTTTTTTGATTCCCCTATTTTGATGCTATCTATACCTATGCAGAAATATTTTGTTCCACCACTGAGTTGCAACATAACATGGCACTGTGCTTACAACATGCAGCAAAACAACACTGTATCACTCTCATCATTATTTTTACATTCTTTTTTTTTAATGAATTCTATTAATCATTAAATGCTTAAGGCATAAGCAGAAATACAAATAAAAGCTGTAAAAAAACCCAAACACATCATTAATGCACCTCATCTGAAACTTTTAAGTACAATGCAAGACATCATGTGATAATGTAACTCTGAATAGAACAGACTTTGAAACATTCTGATTCTAAAAATAGACAAAATTACTGGAATTATTTATCTTGAGAACTTTAAACATATATGCACAATAACAATTCAACATCTATAGCAGGCTGAAAATTTCTATTCACTCATCTTTTCTTTTTTTAAATAGATAAATTTCAGTTAGTTCCTCTGTGGATGTCCAGTCCTGCTGGGAAGACCAGCTTCAGGACTGCCAGTTCACACTGGGTAGACCAAGCAGCAACACTCACAGTATTATTCCTACATTGATACCTAAAATAGATACCAAGCAGGGGATTCACTTGGCCAAATATAACAATCTATAATGAAGCTATCTACCTTGGGGCCAGTGTCCCAACGGTGTGCTATAGACAAAGAGGCACCTACCTTGCACAGATCATCTCACCTATCTAAAATAACTGTCCACAACTCCCTGTTTGCCTCTGCTACCAGTAGAGGAAGCTGCAACTGAATATGCCCAGTGTAGATGTCCTTATTACAGATGTCTAAAGTAAACTGAGTCCAACCTTAAGACTGTAGACAGATGCCCTGTTCCAGAGCTGACAGTGCCAGCTGAAGATGAACYAACTGCAGTGACTTGTCATCCTTGAGAGGGAAGCTACCTCCTCCACCCRTCTGCCAGCAAAGCAAGCAGTAGAAGCAGCCTCTTCACTTCAAATTTATCCTCTTCCCATCTGCTGCAGTCAAAGCCATACAGACTACCACTCTTGACCACTATGTTATGATAACCTAGTTGATTTTACCTGGAGTAGATTGGGCAGCGCTTGCATGATCCCTTTCCCTGTTGGAGCCTTGCAACAGAAGGCTCCTGCAGTGACGAACAGTGGCAAATAAGAATAATATTAAGTAGTAGAGCTGTCTGCAAAAGGAATGCACTTTACAGCCTAATAGGGCTTTGGTTTACTGTTTAGACAAGGCTGAGGAATTCAGACATTCCCCGGAGTGGTTTATTACTCATATAAAAAAAGAGCGCTGAGTCTTACTTTTCCACTCCTCATCAAGATGTGCTAAATCACAGCATGCTTCAAGCTTACAGCTTAGTAACCTTAAGGCATAAAATCCCACTCTAATAAACTAAGGACTTCTTTATTAGTTTGTTTTGAATTTACTGTAATTACAAAAAAAAATGCAGTTTCTGTTCTGAGATAAATTTAAATGCTTAAAAAATAGTGGTGAGTACACCTACATCCAGATCCGATTCTCAGTTTGAAAGGGCAGCCCCATCATTTTTTACCTCTTCCTAATTTATTATGTGTAATTGCTATACTCCAGTGTCTCTTACAACTAGAAATGTTACAAAAAAAACTTGAAAGGTTGACTATGTATGACTGGAAGAAGTTCCTTATATGTAGCTAGTTTATTATGAGATGGATTCTGGCATTCACATTACTGTCTTCCTCAGGCTCTTCTTCTTCAAAATCTTAATTATGCTTGAACATAATGACAATGGAAAAGTGGCAAGACTTGTAGGGTACTTTTTTCTCCGAATAGTACAGGTGCAATGCCACTTTTTAGGTAACAAGTCTGTTAAATTTTGTTCTGCCAAAGCAATCTGCACTGATAACAATTGTCAAGTATGACCACAGATGATTTAATGTTCTATTCCCCCTTTTCTAGCAATTACAAGTTGCTTGAAAATTAAATTATAGTTAATAATTCTCCCCAGAGAGGTTGGCTGACACGATGTGCAAATACTTACACTGCCCTGTTACAGTCAGTTGTTCCCATAGGAGAAGGGCTGGCGGCATGAAAATAACTAAGTGCCCATACACAATTTGCCTCTTCTCTGACAAATAAAATGGGCAAAAGACAATCTGTTCCACTGCTTATACTAACCAACAAATGTTRGGACAGCTGTTTGTTCTAAACACAGTAATGAGGCTGCCGTGCCGTTTTCTGGCTTTCAAAAACTCAGTTTACCATTTTAGAATGGGTTCACGACTAAAGTTCTTATTTCTYTGATGGTTCTTCATCTGCATTGACCTCCTCTCTTTGGAGCCACACAAGTGCTGACTTTGCTGTGCCATCTCCACTCTGCTGGGAAAAGCAAATGAAGGTAGCCCAGAGAAAGCCACAGAGCCCAGTGTAAGCTGTTCTCAGGTAAACAGGTATAAATATGAAGTTGGACAGCTGCATTGGAAGGAGAAAGAGCTCAGTTAGTGCTCCAGGCATTGTTAGATCTTAAGCCTACACACCCAAAAACTCCCCTTGACTTCTCACTGGGTTGGAGAATACACACAGGATCAGGTTTTATGACACAGAAATGCTCCTGGAGTTACCTGAAACTCACCTGCACAAAAGGCCAGTACATCAACCCGGTCTGAAATAGAAATGAGTCACTGTTACTGTTAGGGACTTCAACCACAAAGATTCATTTTTCTTACCATATTTAGCAAAAACAAAAACCTAACTGAACAAAGTTAATAAAAGATGTTCAAATGTAGAGCAAGCTGTTTAAGTTAGAAGGTGCAGTAATAAACTGCTGCCAATTTCGTGAGCTCCTCTGTTGAAGTTTCTCAGAACTATTATTCTAACTCATTTAAAATACAAAATTTAAAATACAGTGTTTTTGTAGTCACCTGACAACCAGATACATAAGCACATTTACCAGATGGGTGAACAAATGTTTAAATATGTGAACATTTGTTTCAGCAATGAATGAAAAATACCACTAAACACTATTTATTTCACACTTACAATACTCCTTCTAGTTACTCATGCATGTAAGGGKTTTTTTTTCCCAAAAATTATCTGATAATTTACTCAAAGAACATAAGGTCAATGGAAACCTTATGTTTTTATAGGACAGAGTGAGTGCTGTTTTTAGAAGCACTCTCTACAGTAAGAAAATTAATCCTTTTGCTTTTTTTATCCTGCCTATATAGTTACACTACATGAATAGAAATGCATATTGAATCACAGTTCCTCAGTCTATTTTTCTGCTAATCTGTCTTTCTTCTTGCGCCTAGGATATCTTTAAAACTTTAATTGGCTTGGCTCTGTGATAGAACAGATTTTTTTTCCCCATGTATATTGAAATGTTAACTAAACCCAACTATTTATATCGAAGTCTTCTTAAAACAGGGCATTGTGTTTCTGTAAGTGAGAAAAACATTGGAGAAAACAACAGGAAGAAAATGATTCCTAAAAAAGATCTCTCTGCAATGTTTTTAACAGGTGTTTATGTGTCATCAGTGGCATTGCTAACTACACACTGGTGAGTGGGTACTTCTCAARATAGAAGGAAATATAATCTTATGATATAATTATCAGTACTGTTTTGTAGGGTGTCCAGGTGCAAGTGCTATGTATATATATATTGTACATTTTTGGAATGGAAGGATTTTACCTATCTGTCAGTAGTGATTGCTCCAGATTACTCTGACTTTAGATGACTACTGGTACCTAAAGCTTCCTACACATAATCAAATGATGAGGTGAGAGAAAGGATGTTAGAAGATGGAATCATACTTTAAATATTTTGTCCAATAAGTATGTATTTTGTGCTTAACTAGGAATAARGGAACTATTGCCTTACCTTATAGGTATTCCAAAATTTCTTTCTACAGTCAGAAAAAATGTCTTCTTTCTTCTGAAGGATGCTCATACCTGGTGGCAAGATATTTAAGACATTTAGAAAACTGCAAAAATGAAAATGTCCATTTTTCCAGTGACAGTCCAAATCCTTCTCAAAATATATTATTCTGAAAGAAAAGCCAATAATATTACAAAGAGAAAATACCATTCTGACTATTTAATACTGTTAGATTACACCTGCTTATCTGTTGACTTATTTCACAGTGTTTACCGATCAATGCGAATGTACTGTACATGTGGTACGAACACAGGTCATGTAATTCCCCAGTGGCACGGCAGTGGAATGGATTGGATGCAAGCATCTTTTCCATCCAAGAGACAGATAGGACGTGGCATTTGCTGTTGAATGGCCAGGGGAGGCCCTGATCCTCTCTGGAATTTTGATACCTATACCCTGCTGAAGTGAGTGGAAAATGGCACCTAATTTTTTTTTTTTTTTTTTTTTTTTTTTACCATCACACGTATCTACATGCAATTCTAGAACAGACAAGTAGAACAGGCTCAGAACCTGCTTCCGTGGTCACCCTGGCGCTGGTGCTCAACCTCTCCCTTCGCTTCCCCCCTTCTCTCTGACGGGCGACCCCGGCGCAGGGGCAGCGCGCCCAAGCGCGGCAGCCGCGGCGCCCCTGGCCCCCCTGGCCGTGGCCCGAGGGGCTCCCCTGGCCCCCCTGGCCGTGGCCCGAGCGGCTCCCTGCTCGGCGCTCCCCCACGTTGCGCCGGGCCGGCTCTTGCCGCGCTCCGCTGGCAGCGGGGATGTCGCAGCCCCGCGGCCCGCGCTCACTCACCCGTGTAGAAGGCGAGCACGGCGACGGGCGCGCCCAGCAGCTGGTCGCAGAGCACCTTGGCGAGCACGGCGGCGGGGCGGCGGCCGGGCAGCGCGCGCTCCAGCGCCCGCAGCCACACGTAGCTGAAGTTGCCGTGGAAGGCGAGCGCCACCAGCGCCACCCGCCGCGTCTGCGACCAGTCGGGCGGCGGCCCCCCCC